ATACAGAATAACGATTAATATTTCTTATATTCCACTTAATAATAGCGAACTCCTAAAGGGTTGTATAATTTATATGTGTATAAATTGACTTAGTATTGATCTTAGTAAGTACTTTTTAAATTTATTATACATACTGTCTAATATATAATCTAGATATCAATCCAAAAGCCATTCGTCACAACGGACTGCCCAAGTAGAATATCTTTAACACCTTTATGCTATTCGACGTATATTTATGGTGTATTGATGTCAAAATTAAAAACTAATTTTATTATTACTCCCATCAAAGGAAATTGTATATTTTTATTGTAGGTCATAAATCATAATTTAACAATAATTGTTTTACTATACAAAATATAATTTATGTAGAATGAAACTTTCTGATAGGTTTTGAAACCTGAAGGCATATACCGATTTTTGTTTATTCTTGAAATAACCAAACAGATTTATTAATATAAGTATTAATTAATTTAAATATAAAGTTAAATACTATTCGTATATTTAATAATCTAATTATGATTTTTTTCCAATTCAATTTCTTATTTTGGTAACTCATCATCAAGCACGTAGCCAGGATTTTATTTTTAAGGGGTATTCCAAATACGTTTTACTATAATAAGCAGGCATGATTAACACATAAAACATTTTTTTTTTTTTTTACTAACTGAAAAATATTTTATAATACAATATAATCTATAATTATTTAATATTTTCAATGACAGTTTATTATATAAATTTTCTGTTTTTTTGATCTATTATAACCAATATTTTGTTGTAGTTACATATACTTTCCAATGTACTGACAAGAGTTCCATTAAACGCTCATTTCGAATTTTATAACGAAGCAATGATTTTAGTGTTATAAATTAACGTTCAACTGTAACTGTAGAAACTGGGGTAGTGTTGCCAAAATGTTTAATAAAAAATGTACGTTTGGGTAAAATTTCGTATCACATACTTCCGCGAAATAATAATATTTGAAATTCGACAATTCTACAGTGATTAATTTTTGTACTACAATACAATCATATATTTTTGAATAATACGTACATGATTCATTTTTATTTAAATTGTGAGCATTATGATTTTATATGCTAGTATATACTTACTTACAGTATACTTACAGTATGTTTACTTACAACAATTTCAAAAAGGAGTTAGACTCCATGGACCCTAACCTAACCTAACGTAGCTCCTTGGATACTTGCCTGTTCATCGCAAAATTTTATAATATTTAAATTGTATAAAATAAAGTGTTTTTAAGTTAAAATTATCTTAATGTGTAATACTAAGTGAGAACTTGACATTTTTTACAATCAGGAAAATAATATTTTATGATTTTGATTAATAAATTAATAATCTGAAATTTATCGAGTAAATAATGATAAAATATTTAAATAAAACGTTTAGGTACGCTTTAGATCATATTAAATTAAACAAATTACAAACCATAATCTTGGCTCTGAATATTTTGCTTAAATAAATAAATTATAAATCTGAAAAATAATTGAAACATTGATTTATTTTTGACTTATCGAATACTGCTTTATTTTCTTTATACTGAAATTAATTGATACCAATATCTAAAACAATGATTCTTATTCTTATCTAAAATAATTAATAATTATTCGATAATCGATATTTGATAAAGTAATGCATTATGGGTGTTTTTTTATATTCATATATTATTATTATATGAGTATAATCTAAGTATGTACTACTTTATGGTTTGGATTGATAATTTTTTTATTGCAGCAATAGCTTTAATCAAAATAAGTTATTTAAATGAGTCTATTAATCTAAATAAATGAGTTGATGATTGCAGCAGGCACGTCCGAGTCACATATTTTATGAAATTGAGATATTAATAAAAATGTACTTGTACTAATCATATGTTTCTATGCGTTGAATGTTTTTTATCTAATAGAAAAAGTTATTAGACATAATAGACATAATTACACTTAAAGCATAGAAATACATTATTAATAACTTAATTTCATAAAATACGCGACTCGTGATGCTTCTGCAATTATTGATTCAAATATAGGTACATAACATTAAATTAATATGAAAAAATCACCTCAACTTCTCCACAAGTAGGATCTGTACCTACATTAATCATCGATATTTTTGAATTTGCAAGGAATTATTTTAATTAGTATGGTTGTTCTATGATTTCTTCTATTAATATATATATATACACATAAGGTCTTTTTTGTTGTTAAACTGTATCTCTAAAACAGATTTCTTGGCTGAATTATTTTGAAATTATCAGATCTATGTGGCTGGCAAAAAAATTCTTATTCTAACAGTTAAACGTCCGGAATAAAATAGGTAAGTAAGTAGTACTTAATGTTGAAACGTGTATACTTTGTTATTGATCAGTTCAATACGTTTGGCTTACCGACATAACGAGATTCGATTATTGACCTCAATTCTGTCATAAACTGTTGAATTAAAATTTTTTGTCAACCGAGTTATTTCCGTTGAATTAATGGTTGTATAGTACATCACCATTAGTTTCAAAAACAGAAGCGATTGCGTCCCACGCATCCTTCTTTTTACTATTTAATTTATAGAATTTATCCTTAGGATCCCACAAAACGGGATAATTTTCATATTCATTGATTAACTGTAATATTTGGTCGTCAGTGAAATCCATTTTAAATTATGTAATTTCAAAAAACCTACACCGTACACGTACACTGACAGAGTGACAATGATCATTTTATTTTTATTGCGTTCGGACTTAGATTCGAACAGTAAATACACCAAAATAACGAAAAACCCCGTCCAATAGTAGTCATAATTTTCTTTGATGTACCGACAATCCGGCAAACACGAAATACACATATATTATAGTGAAATTAGAATTTGCCGTAAAAACTTAAGTTTTGAAATTGTAGTTAATTAAAGTTTATAAAGTGATAATTTTATACTAAAACCCTTAAATACTCATATATCATCATTAATGATAATGTTTAAGAGCGTTATGCAGTGGAAGCAGCGTCTATAATTATATACGTAACCGAATTTGATCCCCACACAGGTAAAATAATTTTTTTTTTGAGAACTATAATTTTAAAGCCGAAAAAACTTAATATTCTATATTAAGGCAATACCACCTCAGGTAGGTTACCAGGTAAAAAAAAAAAATGAATTTTAAGTGCACCTCGAGACTGGGTGAAGTCATTCGCTCGGATAGTTAAAAACGAAAATATCCCTCGATTTGTTAGACAACACTACCCCAAGTAGGTCACAGGACAAAAAAGTAAAATGTGATAGATATAATAATGCAAGACATATTTATATTATATTATCATATAGATTTGAACGTAACGAAAAAAAATTGCACAATTTTCACATCATTCTGATGATTTATACCCAGTACTTCCATAATTGTAAGTACCATGATATTCATTGCTCCCGGTAGAGATTTATATAATTAACCAACATGGGATTTTTTAAATAAAACAGTCAACTTTAAATGACTATAACTACAAAACTAATGATCAGCATCAATTTTCGTTTGCACCATGGTCTTCAGCGTTGAAAAATACATAAAACCAAAAAATTCCAAAATTTAGGGTGCCCCATAAAGTAGAAATATACCTCATATTTTTATAATTACTTACTTTTTTATTCCATTGATTTTGAAATAAAATCTATAACTATTTGATACTGACTAATGATGATATCTACAGTGTTATCATCTATTATATATAAATAATATACGAAGTATAATATTTTTATAATTTTAGTAATAATTTGATGCACAACAAATAAAAACTTAAAAATAATTGCATAAATAATCATATAATTCAACGTCTACATAATATCATATATAATAATAATAATAATATACTTAGCACAAAACTTTGACAAATTGATCGAATAATATTAAAAATACATATTAAACAAATATCTAAGTATATTCATTTATAATTTATTATTGTCTTTAAGGGCACAATGTTTTAAATGGCAATAGCTTATACACAAAAATGTTTATAGCTTAAGTTTTTCATTATAATTCAGCTATAATAGTACAGTATTGTTTTGAAAATAACTGCGCATCAATTAATATCTTTTTAATGTAATATTTTAATGTCTGTTTACTAAATTGACATTATTTGTTTATTTTGTAAATTATGCAATTTACTTTTAACAATAATAACATACAAATATGTAAGCATAAAGTAATTAATTCTATAGTGATAATTCATATATTTTGTATGGTAGATAATAGTAGTTTAGGATATGCAATTATCATAACACTAGTCTTACATTTGTAAGCTATAGGGTAAATTTATAAATTATAAATACATTCAATAACAAATTGAGTGATAATACTGCAAACAATATTTACGCATATAAAATCTGAAAACCAGGAAATTGTCAGAAGTTTCAAAGACTGATTTTCTAAGTCATCTCAGTACACTCACCACAATTATTATTCAAGAAAAATATGGTAAATTTAGTCAGTAATAAAATGTATTTTATTTTAGAAATAAATATTTTAAATTGATTTATGATTTTATAATAAATTAAACTTGGGTATTATTATTTTAAAGTTTGATAAAGTGCCATTATTTGAAAATTATTAATCTACATAGAAATTATTCTGTTTTAATGAACAGGCAGAGTTACAGACTTAAATGAAAAATCTGATTGTTTACATAAACATACTCAAAAATAAAACTCTTAATAGAAACTCAGTCTTTTTCACTTTATTCTGAATAAAATGTTTGTAATTCTGATATAATTCTAATATGGCCATGAAAAATGGAATTTCAGATAATATTATACTAAATTTATGGATAAGGATAACTCTTAGGTTTGTGAATTATTTATGAGTAAATCAAAATCGATTTTAGGAATTTAATGTTTTCATAGGAGTTAAAAATAATATTATCACACTTAAATTATTAGTAAAAAAAAAAAATATATAATAACAATAATAGTTTTACGACCTATTTGGTTGAAAAAAAAGTGCTAACATGTTACTGTAATGTTACGATGCTATATTTAAGAGCCAACGTAATTTTTACTTCATTTGACCAATAATTACATGTGCCAGTTTATGCACTCAATGTTTGAATAGATATCACACCACCCGGTCCAGGTAATACGGACTGCTCCATAAGGAATGCGTCAACTTCTCTAGCTGCTTGGCGTCCTTCAGATATTGCCCAAACGACTAATGACTGACCACGATGGCAATCTAAATATAAAATAGGATGTAGTTATAGCATTGATTATAGTGTAAATAAATGGTTTTAGATTATACGAAAATAATCATGTGCAAAAAGTTTTTTTTAAGTTACTAACCTCCTGCAGCAAACACTTTAGGAATGGATGTAGCATAACGGCCAGACGGTGTTTGAAAATTGGATCTTGGATCAAGAGCCAATGACAGTTCATTGACAATTGTACGCTCAGGACCAAGGAATCCCATCGCCAAAAGGACCATGTCACATTTGAAAATCTAAACATTACATTGTCACGTTATAAAATAATAAATATAAACTCATATACTATTGTCCTTCAAAAAAAGGCATACTTGTTCAGAGTCTGGTACTTCTTCCATTTTCCATCTTCCAGCCTCATCCTTAGTCCAACTTACAGTAACTGTTTTGATACCACTAACATGACCATTTCCATCATCAATGAATTCCTAAAAATTATTTTTGTTAAATAATATAATAAATAATATTAAGATTAAAAATGTTTTTTAAAATACCTTGCTTAAAATACAAAATTGTCTAGGATCTTTTCCATATTTAATTTTAACTTCCTCATGACCATAATCTACCTTGAATACTCTAGGAAATTGTGGCCAAGGATTATCTCGTCCCCTAGTTTTTGGCGGTTCAGGGAGAATTTCAAATGATGTAATAGATCTTGCTCGCTAAAATTATTGTAAATTCAAGAAATAGTTTTCAAATTTTATTGGTTATTATGTAAAAAAAAAAAGAATACCAACCTGTCTTAATGAAGTAGCAATACAATCACAACCAGTATCACCACCACCAATAATTATTATGTCTTTATCTCTTGCTAATAGGGGTAAGTCTGTAGGTCCACCAAGTTGTTTCTTTTGAGAAGATTCCAAGAAATTCATGGCAAAGTATATGCCTTCCAGATGACGACCAGGTATGGGGAGATCTCTTGGCCATGTAGCACCTGTGCATAGAACAACTGCATCAAATTGATCCAAGAGTTCCTAAGATAAATTATAAATTAATTTTAGTTATAATAATTTTAAATTATTATTTTTGTAAGAATTACTTTAGCTAAATAATCCTTTCCAACGCTGACATTAGTATGGAAAACCACTCCTTCATCTTCTAGAAGTTTAACTCGTCTTTGTACAACTTCTTTAGATAGTTTCATAGTAGGGATTCCATATTGTAGCAGACCACCAATACGATCATTCCTCTCAAAAACTTTTACCAAATGTCCAGCCTAAAGGGTAACATTTAAATTGTGTTATAAATAATAAATTAAATATCAGCTATTATTAATTAGCAGTAAAACTGTAAATTATTGTCGTAACAAAATAATAGTGTGAAAATAGTAAAAGAGTGAAAGGATGTTCCTTTCTTTCATGCAGCAAGACTAATTATAAATAATTCTCGGATTTGCTTATTTTATTATTATTATTATACAGATTGTAAATTCTAGTTTATAAAAAAAAGTGATAAAAAATGTATTGATTACGTAATATTGATTAATATCTGGTTTTATTTTAAATATTGGATTATTTGTAATCACTTAAATTTTTATGATGACCATCAAGCTGACATTTTTAATTATAAAAAAAAGCAAATAAAATGTAATAAAGCTTTATACATATTGATATTTATTATCATACAAACAAGAAATTTATAAAATGTTATGAAAATAAATATGAGATGTTTTATTTTATCAGAATAATACTTCTATTTTTCCAGTTAGTTATAAATAATTGTTTTGATTATTGAATAATCAAATATTTTTATTACTAAAAATTACTTAATCGATGGATTATCTAAATATATTAAATAGTTTACTAATTAATTATTATTAGTAATATAGTTATAATATACTGTAGTATTTATAATAATTATTGGGATACCTTATTTAATTGATGAGCAGTTGCTAGTCCTGATGGACCAGATCCAACAATAGCTACTGTTTTTCCAGTTCGATTTTTTGGTGGTTCAGGTTTAATCCAGCCTTGTTCAAAAGCATGATCAATAATTGCACATTCTATGTTCTTAATAGTTACTGAAGGTTCACTAATACCCAAAACACATGCTCCTTCACAGGGAGCAGGACAGACACGTCCAGTAAATTCTATTATAAAATAATTTAATTATTCATACATATACAATTTAATATATTATCACTAGATTTACCAGGGAAATTATTGGTCTGTAAAAGTTGATTCAATGCCTCTTGCCAATTATTGTTGAAAACTAAATCATTCCATTTTGGTATAATGTTTCCCAAAGGACATCCATGTGAGGATTGACAGAATGGTACACCACATTCCATACATCTAGCAGCTTGAACTCTAAGTCCCTTCCTGACATGTTGGAAATTGTAAATTTCGTCCCAATCATTAAGTCTCTTCTCAGCAGGTCTGTACATCATTGTTTCTCTTGAATATTTCACAAAACCACGAGTCTTGTCTAGAATTTTTTCAAGCCTTTTTTTTTCAAATGTTTGGTCATTAACTACTTCTTCAATGTCACGGACACTTGGTTCATTAATTGTTTCTACTGGACTTGTGTGTACTTGTGCTACTTTAGTTTCTTCAGCCAATTGTTTCAAGGCTCTTTGATATTCGTAAGGGAATACTTTAATAAATTTTGAAGCAGAATGTGGCCAAGATTCCAACAGTTTAGATGCAATGACTGATTCAGTTTTAAGAACGAATTCTTCTAAAAGAGACTGAACATAGTTAAGATCTTCTTGGCGGTCCAGAGGAAGAAGTTCAACCATTTCTGTATTGCATTTACTATAAAATAGATGATGAAGATATTATGCAAAAGAGAATTTGAAGAAAATTTAATAAATTTTACCTCTTGAAAGATTTATCCACATCAAGAACATAAGCGATACCACCGGACATACCAGCAGCAAAATTACGACCAGTAAGACCCAAAATAAGTGCGCACCCTCCAGTCATATATTCACAACCATGGTCACCAACTCCTTCAACAACTGTTATAACACCAGAATTTCTGACCGAAAAACGTTCAGCTGCAATACCCCTGAAGAATGCTTTTCCACTAGTAGCTCCATACAAACAAACATTTCCAGCTATCACATTGAGCTCAGATTGGAATGTAGATGACTTTGGTGGGTAAATTACTATTTCACCTCCAGAAAGTCCCTGAAATGATATATTATTATAAGTATTTCTGAACTCTAAAATAACCTGTGTCAATGAGCATACTTTTCCAACATAGTCATTAGCATCTCCTTCTAAAGTAACATGTACTCCTTTGGTTAAAAAAGCACAAAAACTTTGTCCAGCAGAACCTTTTAATTTTATGTTTATACTGTTTTCTGGTAGACCCTCATCACCATATTTCCTAATGAATTATAATTGATTAGAAAACAAAAATTGATTTGATGAGTATAAAAATACTCACATAGAAATATGATAGTTTAAAGTTGATGTAAAAGCACGGCATTCATTGTTAATAGTAAGTTCTATATCTACACTTTTTTGTGTACCATCAATTACTGGTTGAGCTGCAGCGATAACAATATTGTCCATACGTTTTTCTAATTGGAAATCCTAATTATAAATTATAATAACAATATTATTAGCATTAGAAAAAATAAATTATATACTTCTTAAGTGCAATTAATACTTGTGATTCTGATCCACCAACTATGTTAACACCAGGTCTCATATGAAGAGCATTTCGTAGAACAGGAGCAAGATTTAAAAATTTTGATTTAGGATTATTATTGTTGTCTGTCATTTTAAGAAGATCTGTACGACCAATAAGATCTTGATATTTGGCAACACCAAGTTTAGCCATATGTTTACGAACATCTTCAGCTAACATAAATAAGTAGTTCACTACATGTTCAGGTTTACCAGCAAATTTCTTTCTCAGTACAGGATCTTGTGTAGCAATTCCAACTGGACAAGTATTCAAATGACATTTTCTCATCATGGTACATCCAAGTACAATCAACGGTGCAGTACTCAAGCCTATTTCATCAGCACCCAATAAAGCAGCTACAATGACATCGAAACCTGTTCTTATTTGACCATCAGCTTGTACCACTACTCTGGATCTTAAGTTATTCAATACAAGGACTTGATGAGTTTCTGCCACACCAAGTTCCCATGGAAGTCCTGCGTTTTTGATACCAGTCCATGAACTAGCTCCAGTACCGCCATCGTGACCAGAAATTACAATGTGTTCAGCTTTTCCTTTAGCTACACCTGAAGCTACAACTCCTACACCAACTTCGGAAACAAGTTTCACAGATATCCTTGCATTAGGATTGGCACACTTCAAATCATAAATAAGTTCTGCTAAATCTTCAATTGAATAGATATCGTGATGAGGTGGTGGAGATATTAATCCAACACCAGGTACTGAGTGTCTAGTGCTAGCAATGTCTTTAGTCACTTTATAGCCAGGCAACTCTCCTCCTTCACCAGGTTTAGCACCCTGGGCCATTTTAATTTGTAGGTCATCAGCATGAGCCAGATAAGAACTGGTAACTCCAAATCTACCAGATGCAACTTGTTTGATAGCTGATCGCTTGTTGGTCTCTGTCTCTTGATTTAAATAGCGGTCAGCATTTTCACCTGTAAAAATATATTTTGATTAGAATACAATTTATTGATAAATCTAAGATATTAATACCTCCTTCTCCTGTATTTGATTTTCCTCCGATTCTGTTCATTGCAATTGCCAAAGTTGAGTGAGCTTCAATAGAGATTGAACCAAAACTCATTGCACCTGATTGCATTAATTAAACGCATATTAAATATAAAAAAATTTAATTATTATTATTTTCTTAATAAGCTAATTATTAATATATTACCTGTAGCAAATCTCTTTACAATATTTGCTGCTGGTTCAACTTCAGAAATATCAATCGATTTAGTAGTAGGAACTAATTCCAACTGACCTCTAAGGGTACAAGCCCGTACACTTTCCATAGTAGATTCACAAAATTTATCATATGAGTTGGTACTTTTGTTAACTGCTGCTTCCTATTGTATAAAATTATTGTGAGCAAGTACAGATATAAATAACAGTTTTATTTTTTTATATTCTTACTTGTAAATTGGCAATGCTGATTGGATCATTAATATGTTTTTCACCACCTGAACGCCAGTGGAAATAACCAGGGTTCATCAAAACCAACATATCCGTGTTACGATAAGAATAAGATAAGAAGTGACGTTCATATGCTTCATTGGCCAAGCGCTCAAAAGTTATACCACCAATACGTGACTGTGTGCCTTTAAAACACTTGTTGATTACTTCATCAGCCAAACCAACAGCTTCAAATATCTGAGCTCCTTTATAAGATTGCAATGTGGATATACCCATTTTTGCCATAACTTTGGATATTCCACGTTCCATTGCTTCACAATAGTTCTAAAAGTGTAATTAAGACATTGTAAAAATAAATTTGAGTCTAATAAAGATTAATTTTAGTAACTAACTTCAAATAATATTTTATCGGTATATGATGGATCCAAAACTCCTTCAGCACGTAAAGTTTTGGCCATTTCAAATACAAGGTAAGGACATATCCCATCAGCACCATAACCCAATAAGACACACATTTGATGAACTTCTCTAGCTTCACCGGTTTCAACTATTAACCCAACTTTCATCCTTAACCTGAGTTCAATCAAATGATGATGCGTTGCTCCTAAGGCCAACAAAATACTGACCGGTATTCTGAAAAAAATTAAGAATAATTAAAAATAGGTTGATTTTTTTATGATTATTGAAATCACTAAAATAAATATTTTACCTTTCAGCTCCGGCCGATCTATCAGACAATATAATGAGTTGATAATTGTTTTTAGCAGCATCACTGGCATCTTCGCATATGCGATCGAGTGCTTTTGAAAATCCTGATGGACCTTCATCCTTACTAAATGTAACATCAATAACTTTGGTCTGTAAAATATATAACAATTTAGTATTATGATTTATTATATTATATTATACAGGAAAATTAATAATTTACAAATTTTTACCTTCCAGCCACGGTGTTGATTATTGCGCAAGACTTCCAGATCATAGAGAGACAGTATTGGATTTGGTAAGAATAATCTATGACACTGTTTGGCGCTTGGTATCAGAATGTTTGCTTCCGGACCAATAGGGCACATCAATGACATGACGATTTTTTCACGGAAAGGATCAATAGGTGGATTTGTTACTTGGGCAAATAGTTGTTTAAAGTAAGAGTATATCAATGGCTGAAACAAGGAAAGGCAAGCAAGTGGGGCATCATTTCCCATAGATCCCAATGCTTCTTTTCTAAAATAATATAAATATATGTTAAACACGAAATAATTATTTAAGTTCACTCTCATAATATATACTTTGTTCTAATCATTGGAATGATTAACATATTGATGGTTTCAATTGAGTAACTAAATAACAAAAGGCGTCTATCTCCTCCCCATATGCGAGTCATCTCTTGTTCTGGAATGTTTTCTCTAAGCGTCTTTTTACGTTCACCACTTATAAATTCAATTGATTTGGCTCTCACCAAACCAAATCCTTTAGCAACAGCTTCTTCTCGTAAATCTTCTATTGTAATCCTCTACAGAGTAAATAAAAATATTTTATTTCAAGGAAATAATGAAAAATAAAAATACAAACAGATATATACAACATTTAAACATACATACATATATGTACACACAATATACTAAATAAAGTTGTTAATTCTAGAGTATATATACATGTATCTAAAATACTTATTAGCTCATTAAATTAATAAAATAAATTTATAAAACCATCAAAATTAATAATAGCATAAATGTAAATAAAACCTTAAAAAACTAAACAGCAAGGCATGTTTACATACAATTACTATGTAAGTTTTAAGTACAGATAAAACGAAGAAAACAAAAACCTCTTATAGTTGTAATTATTTACAATATCATACCTACATGTAAATAAAATCTTATAAAATGTAATAGCTAGGCGTTATAGGGGAAATATACACGGGTAAGATAAGGGTATGTGCAGATCGAAGAAAAGCATATTTTCAAACCAATTATCAACACATATAACTCACCCTCTATAAAGTCAGTACAGGAAACAATTTGCGGCCGCGGATAAACAAACAAAATTTTTCGTCATTAAATTTTGGTGAATAATAACTATGTTATATGTTTACAGTTTTAGAACTTAATTGTTTTATTACCTGTTCTCTGAGCCAATCGGAATGGGGTCTACTTCTCGCGATGTCCAGTTTGAGCTGAACGTCTTGTATGATGCGCTTCTCTTTGGTGTCAACAAGCAACATGCGCCCTGGTTTCAAACGGCTCTGCAAAATTATTACAATATATTTGCGCTTGAACACATGACGCGTGTGCGCACGAAGTGAAATTACACTGCGGTTTTGCTCTCACCTTCAAAGCCACATTGGCCGGATCCGTCTCGTACACACCGACTTCAGACGCCATGACCATGATGTTGTCTTTTAAGACGTAGAAACGAGATGGTCTCAGGCCATTCCTACGAACAATTATCGTTTCGCGATTTACGTAAGCACAATAATCAATTTTGTTTCGTTAACGGCAAGCCATTGCGATTGCGCAGTACCTGTCCAGCAAAGCGCCCACGTATCGCCCGTCGGTGAACGTCAGAAGAGCGGGACCGTCCCACGGTTCCATTGCGCATGCGGCCCAGTTGTAGAAATCTCTTTTCTCGGACGGCATGGTCTGATCGTTTTGCCAGGCTTCCGGGACCATGGTCATCACGGCTTCGGGCAGCGAGCACTCTCCGGCGTTGATCAGGAACTCCAAAACGCAATCGGCCGATCCGGAGTCGGAAAGATTTGGCTCGACCACTGGGTACAACTTCTTGATGTCGTCGAAGTGCTTGCTCTCCATCACGCCTTCGCGGGCCGTCATGAAGTTCACGTTACCGCGTACCGTGTTGATCTCGCCGTTGTGCGCCAACACCCTGTACACAACAACAAACGTTATTATCGGCTGTCGAAACGGCATGGCAATGGGGAGCGGGGATGGGGTTGGTACAGCGGGTCGGTAGAACTATGCGCACCTCAATGGATGAGCTCTCTCCCAGCTCGGGAAAGTGTTCGTGGAGAATCTGGTGTGAACGAGCGCTAAGTACGTCTCGTAATTTGGACTCTGCAAATACAATACGGATTAGTGTACTATACGAGTGTGTACGCGGCGCTGATAGCAGACAGCAGTGCTCTACGACAACGTTCGTAAAGGATCAATCTTTTCGGGAGATTTTTCGAAAAATTGAACTTTTTTCGCGTACAGCACTTCAAGAGTCGTGCGATCACTCAGCTATCGATAGAAATAAGATTACTTGTAGATCGGTGAAATACGCCCACAGCTGGTCGGACGTGAACTGGCCCTTGTAAACGACGATGGTATGCGACAACGAGCAAATGTAAAATCTCCTGCCTGGCTTGGGTATGGTGTGCGTGGAACGCTTGCGAAGCGCGAACACGCGGCGTTTGAAGTCGTCCTCGACGTACGCATCGGCCGCGTCCACTACGAACACCTGACGAATGAACGGCTCGCTGCTCCTGGCCACCTCACCGATTTGGTCGTTGCGCACCGGCACCGTTCTCCAGCACAACACCTGGAAACGTTACGGCCCCGCGCCCCAATTAGATTACTTCGTGACTTCACACGGCTCCCGGTGGTGGTGGCCACCCGCGGGTACCAAATAATCGTATCCGTTATATACGATGTATACGCGTAATGGTCGCACTAAGTAAGGATAATTCCACATCGAGAGGACAGAATAGGCCGTGTAAGGTGTATAAAAATAGTGTATGTGTGTGTGTGTGTGTGTGTGTGTGTTAGTGAGTGTATGCTAGTGTGTCAGTGGCGTGAACAGAACTTAGATTGTCCGTGGCAAATAATCCAGCGGGCCTTACAAAGATCCACCCCTGATAATAGATAATAAACATTTAAAAACATATTTAACATACAATTATGAATATGGTCATTTTTTTATTATTACGCATTATGCATTATATGTATCCAATTTTTTTTTTAGTTCGAATAATATAAATGAGGCAATAACAAATTTTAAAATATTTAATTTATATTTAAAGAAATGTTCCATCAGTTTTACGAATATTGTTTCTTGCTTTTGCTTCAGCAAACTTATCGATTAAATCTTCGAATTTAATCTCTCGAACGGTTTCTTGTTCGATTGAAAGTAATGCCAGACCACTTAAACAATTTTATACACGAATCGATGACGAATCGAGTAATCGACAGTCGCCTACACGATTTCCTAGACTAGAGGTTTTAGTGCTCAAAATGTAGAGTGCGTTTCCATGTTGTTTCTCTTCTAAAATGGTTGTAATATTTATATATACTAATATCGCAGACGCCGCATACCGACAAACAAACGCTGCACATAAAATAATCTATAAGGGTGTATCAACCATTTTTTTAAACAGTAAATTAATTTTATTAATTAAAATTATAATAAATTAAGTAATTTTATTTTGTTAGATCATGGTTTTTTTTAAATGCAATAATAGAGAACTGTTTTTAGGATTCTCAAGATTACTTGATTGACCCTCAAGAGTCATGGGCCCGAGGATTATTGCCCGTCATGCCACCCTATCGGTACGCCACGCCACTGGTGTGTATGTGTGTGATATAGGATTAACATGCAAATCTCGTAAGTACAGCACCTGTAAGTTAATACACGGTACAATACGTAATAAATATATTTAAACAGTGCAGATGATAATTTTGTTTTTGTTTTTAAATACTATTTTCGCGTAATAGCTTAACTTCTAAAATACAGTATTTTTCTTATAAATGTTCTATTTTGTTAAATTAAAAATAAATATTCTATTGGTAATTCTATGCATTTGTTACTATATAATATATTTATATACATACATAATATATTATAATATACAATATAATATATTATATACATATAATTATATACTCTAATATTGGTAATTGTGTTACATTTTTACGTTTAAAAAATACGTAGATCTTATCGCTTATGAAAAAGATATTTAAAAAAATAGAATTTAAAGGAAAAATTGTATAATATAACTTTTCCAATATTCCAATTTTTTATTGATTTAATTGATTTAATTCAAAATTTAAAAGAATAATTGAAATTTTAATATAAGCTCGATTTCTATCGATATTTGTTTATTTATAAGTTCTAGCTAATTTAAATAAATAACATATTTGTTTTAGTTTCACTACGTTTAAACTAAAGATAAAACTTGGAAACATATTTTGCAATTCAATCAATCAAATATAAAACCGTATTTTATAGATAAAAAACAAGAGTCGTATAAAAATGGTAACATTTACTTGGGTTTGAAAATATTAAAAATATTATACAATTTGTGCCAATAATGTGTGATTTCAATGAAAACATTTTTTTTTTTACAAAAACAATGAACGTGTTGCATAAAAAATGTTTAAATTATTTGTTGAACCATAAACGACCAAACCATTAAATAATGTTAACCTAAATTTTAAATGAAAATGATTAAAATTTGTTTTGGTATAAAATTAATAATGTATAAATATAAATAATAATATATATATATATATATATATATATATATATATAAAATATACAATATACATTGTATATAGGTACTATATATTATTATATTTATGAATACGTACATATACATATAATTTATATAAGTATAGTGATGTAAATTAAAAAAAAAAAAAATTAAAAAAATAAAAAAAAATAGACACAGATGATAAATTTACCGTACGACGGATACGTGCAGTGGTTGTCTATCGATCGATTCGGCTATTTTGTTTCCGTCGGTATTTGTATATTATTGACCAGGGCCGTTCTGCAATAAACAATATCATAACCTAGCTCACATATGCTCACACTAAGAGGATGGGGCTCACTTGTTGATCGTTATAAACATGTTTATTTCGTTTTTATAACGTTTCATTATCGTATAAATTTTGACTTTTAGTTTTGATTTTAACAGTTTTCCAATACAATATTATAATCGCTGCCGATTTTTATATCGCAGGCGAAAACCTTTTTTTTTTCACTACTTACGCGCTGCGGGCAGATGGACGGACGGTTTGTGGCCACGCGTATTGCGCTTATGGTGCTAAAAAGTATTTGATTGGCCGTATGCACACGCATTATAATGTACGTCGTCAATAACTCACTTTGATTTTGTACTCTAAACCAATGGCCGCAAACATCTCTTCGCTCTCGGCGTGATGCGCCTTGTCCAAGTAAAACATGCCAGTTGCGTACTTGCCCTCCGGCGGCAGTTCTACATTTTCCTGTTCCCTGTAACAGTAAATAAAAATCGACTTATTACAGATCTTGTGAAGACTTTTCTCGGTGTATTCCCTAGTAAGATTGATTAGTGGAAATACACCGGCTCGCCAAGCGTCTCAATCGAAGGCGATGTCATTGGTGTGCATGGATACGATTTTTTTTTTTATGGGGTAACGTTTAGATTTATAGCTAAGTAATATCAGGGCTTGGGATTTTAAATCGTTACACGATAGGTACGTAAATATGAAATCGAAAATAACAGAACTTGCACTTATGCGCACTTGTTTATTTTTAAATACTTATATGATTGCTTGTCTAGTAATGTGATTGTATAATTATAATTATGATGATGAAATATTTTATTTTTGTGTTATGTCCGTGATATTATTGTTCTATACGGCAATCAAATCTCATATTAAAAAGCACTTCTTCTGAGTTTGGGGAAGGTGGGCTGTTATGAGTCTTTTGTACTCTCCGTCTCAACTCTACTGACCGATGTATATATATCAATTGATAATTTACATACTCTTATAAAAATAATCTTCTGTAAAAATATACTAATAATAATTCCAAAACGACAAATTTGAGTAGATATTTAGTAAGAGTAAGACTACAGAGTATGTACATAAAGAAGAGACGTTTAGTATTTAAATTATACGTGGACAAACAATGTACGATTTGCACATTGGCAAATCCGATAACTAAAAAAGTAAATTTCGATAAATTGCCAAGTGTTCATCATATATTATTTGATTAACGAATTTATTTTAGTGCACAGCTGTGATGTTAGAAAATTAAACTATTTACTATGGCAATTTTGATAGTTCTATTCAAAATGTATCTATTGGAAAGTTTCCAACGATAAGCTTTAATTATGAATAATGAAAATGCACAAGGATTGAAATAATAAAAATTTAGATATATTTCGACATTGAAAAAAAAAAGATAAAATATCGTGATGATTAAGAAGAAATTGTCCTTGAAGGTAAATAAAATATATTAAATTGTTGGTAATTTAATTTTTGTATAATAATAGATAATAGTATTAGAAAATAAATATTTTACATGGTTAATTAAGTGTTTAATGATAAAAAAAAAATTGATTTGTTGCGTACAATTTATGGACAAGTTATTTTCGATCACGGGTTAGTATTATTAAGATGTTATTGAATATTTTAGGTTGCTTGAAAATATTTTATAAATATTTGTGATTGGGTATCTAGTTAAAAGAAAGGGTGAATACTTTTTATTCACAAGACATTTTAAGAGCTGCGGGTGTGAAATAATCGATATAGAAATATTATTTGTAAACTTATGATTACAGAGTAATATTAATAATTAATAAGTAATTTTTATACACAGTAATTACGTGATAAACCATGACCATAATATCATAAGGCTGAAATTATTAACATTATATTACACTACACTGAAAAATATTTTTAAAATTTATTATATTTCAGATAATATTTTAAGAATCAGATTATTATAATTTCGAACACAACGATCAATTTCAATGTTATCATTGACTATTTGAATGTACAAAATTTTCATACTACTCCGACATAAGTGGAAGTAACGTGTGGCGTTTACTAATCATAATTTAATTTTTTATTGTAGCATAATTATCCAAGTTGAAACTATAGAAGCTTTAAATAAATAATCATTATATTTTATACCTCAAATTGAATACGAATTACGTTTTTGTTAATCTATGGTTTTCTGATAAATGTTATAAAAAAACATTGAAGCAATTAATTTTGTTGCTAAAAGTAATTTGATCTGTCACAGTGGGAGTTCTATTGGACACTTAAAATTTAATTTTCAACTAACTAACTCACTCATTATCGTTTAATTTAATTGATGATCCATCTATTATCCCAATCGATCTGTCACAAACTTTACAAAAATGATACAATGAAACTTCAATGAACTAATAGTGAATGACATCCAGTAAAAATATCATATTTTGGAATGGATTGAAATATAACAATTATATTAATAATTTTGTATGTTCATAATAGAATCAATGTGGATATTAAATAAAATTATTATACATTAGTATTATTTAATAATTATAATGAAATAATTATGTAGTTATTATTATTACAAAACAGTATTTACGTAATTAAGTTCATGTTTATTCAACTTTATTACATTTTTTTACGTACGATTTTATTATTATGAAACTATAATTTTAACGGTTATTTAATATCTTTATATTAACTTTTGTGGAGCAGAAAAATAAAAAATAAATTAATATCAAGTAGACTTACACTGTTAAATACTAAAAGAAGTAATTAATATTAAGAATTCAGTATTTTTTTTTTTTTTTTTAAACACAATAATACGTTGTTACTGACTTGTAACTCTCTTAGCTATAAGAAACTTTTATCATTTTTTTAATTCTTTCTTATTGTGCTCTTTTGTACTTCTAATTATTTTTTAAGGCTATCCACTTGCGAGGTCTTCAAATATGGCGTAAGCCGTTGTTATGGGTTCGGTTCTTAGTCACGTTGTCAGTGTAGGATAAAAATGTAATGATACTTAAAACATTAAATACTCCTTTTTTTGGGTTAACCGTTAAACAATTATATTCATTTCTTGAATATTAAAGTTTAATTTTTCCTATATTTTCTGATACATTGAAAACTTTAGAGTAACGTACAGCAAACTAATTGATCTTTATAATAATCATGCAGTCTAGATTTATTTCAGCTACGAATTTCAATCAATCCTTTACTATGGTGTACTTTAAAATTGTACATCATAATAAGAAATAATAATAATTTAAATTAGTGATCATATAATCAACAATTATCTCATTGATTAATAATTATCAACACTAAGCTATTTTTTCTTAACATTTTCAATTACTTAACGAACGTAAGTTCTCATACGATATTATACATAAAATTATTTTGATCAATGTTGGCTTTCCACATAATTTGTCACATAATTTTAACCATCAGGGAAGCACTTTGAAAATAATTAAAAAGATTAGATTAGTACATATAGTCTATATAGTATATTAGATTAGTACTTGTAATATGAGTGTTATACATAAATAACTTTTTAATTATTGTCTACTAGTAATCGCAATCAATCAATTACCTGTTAATTATAAAAATATTTTTCAATTAATTTTAACATTGAACGTTTTTACACTTTAATCACTGGTGAATTACATTATTATATATTGTCAGTAAGTAAGTTACTTGAACCATTTTTATGGTCACAGCCTCCTGAGCTCTATATTTAAGTCGGTGTATTGAAATCGTTAAGGGGGAAAAATCTATATTTTACTTATACATAGCATTGCGTATAATATAATAATGGCAAACCTTAGTTCGTGGGCGTAAAACGAGTGTGGTATTGCTGTCAATACACCCGCGCCGTCGCCAGAATCGTTGTCGCATGAGCATGCGCCTCGATGGTTCATTTTTATGGCCAATTTTTGCGCATCGCGAACGATCTGGAAAATATAACAAAAACATAATTATAATGGAAATACTTTTATCCAGGAGATTACAGTATTATTCGCGTTCTATTAAAGTGTTTTCTGGTGAAATTGTTAATATATTTATATTTAGTACTATTTACGGTCGAGTCACAATTATAGAACTCCGGATTATATCTCGCATCACTCCACAAGTACTTTAATATCAACGTATCTTGATATTTTTAATTATTTTTCCGCTTTTTAGACGCGAGTTACAGTGTTTTGTCTGTACATGAGTATGCACAAGATCACTGCGTTTCATTTAACTCATACATATATTTTGTTTCCACACTGAAAAAAATCATACTGAGTTTCTACACTACCCATTTTTCTAGTTCAAAGATTAAAGTAATAAGTATAAGGCTAATAGAATTTTTAATTTTGGTAATCAAGAATATGAATACACTAAAAGACTGAATCTTTAGCAAAGTAAATATATCGGACATATAGTTTTAAATACATTTGCAAACATTGGTATTATAATGCTAGATCAAATTTCCATCGTTAAATTATGTGCATTTTCATATTTTTAAGTTTGTAATGTTGAAACACAAACATTATAATTCAGAATGATATGGGGAAAATTAAAATGTTTTAGTTTTTAAAATGCTAGTGAGTGCCCAGTCAAAGTAAAATTCAATCATAATTTTAGTTGTGTTGCTACTGTCTTATTGGTACAAGGAAATAAATAAAAATAAAAAAATAATGGCTTTAGACACCAGCAACTTTAAAAGCATTCGAGTTTTCAAAATTAAAGAAAGATGATGGCTTAATATAAATTATTTTTAATAGTAATACATGCAATTATGACTAGAACGTAAACAACGAATCATTTTTTAAGACTGGTATATTTAATGCAGATAGTTTATTATGTAATAAGAGTATCAAATTCCTTTAGTATTTTTAACAGAAATTTTAACCATGTAAGACATTATTAAAACAGTAGTTTATTTCGCTCATACAAAATAAAAGAGAGAATTATTATTAATTATTTTGTAATAAAATAACGTTTTTATCTAACAATTTTTTTTTTTTTTTTTAGTTGCAAATAACTGATTTGTTTTATTTTATAGTCAAATACAATTATGCAATGTCTTGCAGTCAATCGGATGAAATTTTCGATTTTAAGTAATGATGCTGAACGAGCGAAACGAAGGACATGAGAAATCACATTATTTGAATTTTCGTTACAAGAACCGAAATTTATAACACCGGAAAAATTTAATAGTGTACCGTAGTATATTCATATGTCTAATTTAATAGCCATAGAGCTTTATATTTTAATCAAACATTCAGGCTGCGGAGCATATTTTAAATTCTGAGTATAGAGTGGAATAATATTTCGATTGTACATAAATATAATACGATGTTTTTTCTTGTGTTTAATATACTTTTGGTGTCTCTAATACGTTAAATAGCGTGGTGCTATCAATTGATCTGAAACACAAGTACACTGTATGTGGTCTATTAAAATGGATATTTTTAAATTCTCTAGCAATAGTTTTCAAGACATTTTTAAAAACTGGTGAAAACACTTAACGTTCTCCATAATTTAAACCATTTGAAAATATATTATGACCAGGCTTATTACATATATTATTTTTTAATTGTACATAAAATCTGTTTATCTCGTCTGCTTTTCTCGTACATGACAATTTTGACGAAAATTGTGTAGATATATAATATGTATATAATAATTATCTTATTTCCCGCTAACAAATAATTAGTGGATATGAATCCAAGTAATTGAGAGTAAAGATGTTATCTATAATTGAAGGAAAAGGTCGGCGTTATCACATAAAATTCATAATAAACGAGTCATTTTCAATCATTGATATTGAACCATTAAAGTACTATATCGTTCTTTATATTTTATATTAAGTTCACAATGAATAATTATTGAATAAATTAAGTATTACTATGCTGCAACTTAAAGCCGAACTTAACTCGACTAGACGGACATCTAAAACAATAAATAGTAGGTATAAAATAAAAAGTAATTATTCTACTTAATCCTATGAATAATTACGGATTCGTGGAATAAGTAAAAATAAGGAGGATTATTAAGAGATAATAAACACTCGGAAGCAAATCATTGCGCCTACTGACTACACGGTGTATAAATTATATAATATATCGAATTAAAATTTTAGCTGCTAGATAAATGAAGTCGAGTGTTAATATGCGCCATATTATAGGTGTGACATAACGTTGTTAATACATTGTAGTTTATTACATTTAATAAGATTAATTAGAACTTCCATGTTCATACCACATCGATTGTTTATTCATTTTAGTGGTATATTGCCAACTATAGTCGACGGTATTACGTTTTATATCTCAGTACATGTTATAAACTTCAATTATAATTATTGGTAACAATAATTACATAATGATGTTTAACAAACTTATGTGTAACATTTAATCAAAATCTTTATATCATAATGTTTAATTAATTTATCGAAGTCTAACACGATTTAATGTTGAATGTTATCTAAGTTATTAATTTTGCATAGCAAAAACGGCTATCTGAAATAGTATTTATTCTAATTACATCAATAATAATTATTGCACAAATAATTTGAACGGAATGTACAAAATGTAAATAAAATGCCAATTGAATAAAGATAAATGTGTTGTTTAAATCATAGGTAGAAATAATTTTAATTGAAAATTTCTCACGTTGAAATTGCTCTTTTTAAATCGTACAAATAATGATCAAGATGGGTACCTCGTGCGTGAATACATATTGTTTAAGATATATCATATACTACTCGAGTTTAAGGATCGAACAAATTTAATTGATTTCTTATGTACGGCACAAAGAACTTTTCGTGTCAAAGCCATTGCCGTTCAAACAGTATTATACATTAAATATTATGTAATGCTGTGTACGAAATAGGTTATGGAATTTTTAGTTTAGCCTTCTAAAAGAGGAAAATAAATAAATTCCGAAAGTAGCAATTTCAGTGAGCTTTACAAAAACCATGCAATAACGTATCACAAAGGTTAGGTCGAACAAGTAGATTAGGTTTTGAAATTCTCTAGATACAATAAATCTTCATTCGAGTTGTTAGAGAAATTTCATCACGGTATGCGTTCAATACTAATATACGTTGGTTGTCACTTTTCAATCACCTATTAGATAATAATGCGGAGCAGTCCGAAAGTAATAATTAAATAATGCAATTATTTCATTAGCATCTGGGTTCGATTTTCAGGGCCAATCATTAGTCGAGGTTATAATTGATACCCTATACATTTAAATTGTGTAACGATCAAGCGCGCGTACATATAATGAACACAAGTTGCTGGTATTTTGTTGGCTTCTAGTTTTAAATTGATTTAATAACTATTATTTTCTTTGGGCGAGAAATAACTATTCGACGATTGAGCAGAAAACGTTTAATATGAATCAAATATTATTATAGCTAAAAATGTATAAGATAGCACGGAATGAATTAAAATTGGATATGCATTCACAAATTCGTTTGTATTAGAACGTTCCAAGCACATTTCTTATTATTATATTATTAATCTCATTGACTGATGATAAGAACTTTTTTCGATTCAACTTATATCGAAAGACATCGTACCCGGTTTTTTTTTTTTCAAGACTAGTCATAAACGCATAAATACATAGTCGTTATACACGTAAAAATTCGACGAACGCCACTTGAGCGTTTACGAGAGATAAAAAATTAATTTCATATTATATTGTTCCTACGGATTTTCGTCTCCGGTTCTTTTCATGCCCATTGTTTTAATTTCTAGCTATTGTTTAAGTGGCAATCATTGATTTTGTAGCGGGCGTGTGGCGAGACCAAAGGAAAAAGCCGTAAAACAATTTAATACATGATAGAAGGTTTTATACGATAAATTATTATATTCGCTGGTACTGCCGGCGTGTATAGATAGTATTTTGATATTTAATAAAAACGATTTTTGTTGAACTGCTACTTTAGGGGATATTTTGAATTTATTTTCGCCAGATAGAAGCGATATAAGACCAAAATATAAAATCCTTTTTCAAAAAAGTAAATTTTCAGTATTTCTACATACACCGAGTTTCGTTCACAAAACTTCTATGAAAATATATAAACATTACAGTGAGATATACGAATTACGTACGACCAATAAGCTTAGACCTTAGATAAGTTCAGAAAAATCAATATTGGAGAAGAAGGGCACGATCCATTTATCGATTCACAACCCCATCTGTTCTAACCACAAACCGAAGTAACATAACTGATTGGAAAAAAAAAAATGAACATAGGTATATACTGTCGACGTGCAAATTAGATGGAACTTATGGAAATGGACGGCGGCGGCCGAATTAGTGGGTCAAGTGTACATGGCGGGGCAAGGGAACCGGGAAAATCGTCGAGGCGCTGCCGTCGGGGTTGGTTTCAGTGGACGTGGCGGAATAACAGAAAGCGCAGTTGGCAACGTTCTGGTAAACTCCCTCTATCCGTGTGCCGTTAACAACCGATCGATCCACAAGTTTCCCAAACCAACGTTATGCAGCCGTGATAACAAAGGACGGGGATTTTTTGTTTTCTTCGGATCCTCGTCCGAACCCTCGTGTGCACGTCGCCGTATATATATATATATATATATATATATACATACATATACAATATGAATAAATCGTAGACAAACACGTCCGCGCACTCGCTCTCGCGGTGGAACCACAAACTCACTAGCCCGGTGACGTCACTGCGCACCCGCCGTCCCACCGACTTTCGACGTGGTAACGTTAACAATGCTTCGTGTCTGAACGAACGCCAGGGGATGGTCATATTATTGCGCCATATGATGCGAATACTGCGGCGGCGGCAATAAAGTTATAAAGTTATAAAGCTGATTACACGCTACGCGTTTTCGAGCGTTTTAGAAGCGGCGTTCGAACGCCAAAAATCAAACACGCATCAACATACGGTCAGTCATGTTCACACAGGGTAAAAACCGAG